AAGCTTTTTGGCTCGAAACGGAGGGAGACGCAGGAAATGTTCAGACAGGGAAGTGGTTTCCTTTGTTCTTGCATTGTTTCTCTACGGAGTGGTGGATACAAGGACAAACACTTACCTTCTCTTCTTTTTGCTCCGAAAATCAGACGCTCCCATCAGACTTAAAAATACACAATCCACCTTGAAAGTAACTACGACCGTGGGGAGAGTTTGTATTCCATTCTTTTTCGCCCTCTGCCCTCTTTTAGCGTAGGATTAAGTTGCCGAGCACGTTGCTGCAAGATGTAGCCCCCCCGCCCTAGTGAATCGGTCACGTTTAGGACCCTCTAAATCCATCCTAATTCTGCCAGTAGAATCGAGGGTATTGGTGCTCTAAACTTTCTAAAGAAAAGGGGCCTGCAACTCTCCAGAATACTCACAAATACCTGAAACATTTTAATACTTGAAATTTTTTACCATTGATTTTTGCACCGTATTATCAAAGAGTATTTATTAGGAAGTATTAAGTATATTTTCGGGGAAAGTTTTTTTTTTTTTCAATTTTTACTTAGTAATGTATTACATGGAGTAAAACGCGGGTTTGTAGAGACATTTAACAGAATGAGCGCTTTTTCCATAGCGTTTGTTGTGCCATGTGTTTAAAAAACACAAATAAAACACTACCACAACCGAAAAAGTAGAAATTTGAATCAAAATATTATGCAAAGGATGAAAAAGAGTTTACTTGGCTCCCAAAGTGACAAAGTAACCCCTTCTACTTAATTTTTACTCTATGGTTCTAACATTTAAAAAAAAAATTTTTTTTTCTGGCCAATAGTTAAGGGTTTAGTGTATCGCCTGATGGGCATTATAACCCAAATCTTGTTTAAATGTGATTATGATGTGATGTGCTGAGGTCATGGCTATGAAATGATACTTGCATAGCCATAAATTCGAAGTTGTGAATTTATTTATTTAATTAATTTATTTTTATCTCCCTCTTTTTTTGTGTTCCTAGTAGCCACAGAAAGGAAGACAGTGATTGGCTCCAGTGCTCCTAGAAGGATTTGGGCTGAAGCCAGAGGAACAGAACCAGAGAATTCCTTTTCCAGGGACTATCATGCCGCTCCTGTCTTATCTTTCCTTTCTCCCTCCTAGGTGCTGGGATTTCAGTGTGGCTTCAGCAGCCCATAGGTAGGCCTCCATGCAGCGTCATAGCTCAGCCTCTGCATGTTTTGCCTTCCTGGAGAATCAACAAAAACCTGGGCAACCCAAAGAAATAGTGGTTCTGGAGATTTGTGTATTCTTTAATATAGAAAGGTTGAATTCTACTTTCTTTGATTCTTTTCCCCTTACATTCAGATCAATTGTAAAAGTCCCTTGTGTCTCATAGGAAAATATTGCAACAAAACAAGATAATTGGGGGGAAAGGCGGTTGCAGTAGGAAAAATGGCTTTTCTTTGATAGCATTTAATTGGAATTAAAAGATTCTGGTGCTGTAAACATTCTTTATTCAGTGCACATAAGGAGGCATTGTTTTATCACCATCATAATTACGGTGTCCTTTAAACTGGCTGATAGCAGGAAAGATAAGGGAATGTGTCTGTATACAGATGCAGAGCAGGTCTGTCTCTTTGCTTTGCCTGCCTCCCTCCCTCCCTTCTCCCCAACCCCCATTCCTTCCTTGGTCACTAGAGTCCCCCACAACCCTTGAGATGAGAAGAGCAGGAAGATTATGGCCTAAGCATTTCTTACATCATGAAAGTGATTTGTACCACATTCTAATTTGACGCAATCCATAACCTGCTTGTCTCCTATGTTTGTAACTGCTTTTTAGCTTGCTAAAGATGTTTTCCAAGAGTTGCCTATTACTCACCTGTATAAAATCTCATCCACTAAGGCTTCCCTCTTTACCTTTGTCTAATTTAGAAGGCATACTCTTAGGGCTTTTTCTGAACAAAGCCTCACAGAAACCCCTTTACCTCCAAGGATTTGCAAATTTATAAAGGCTGCATTGAATTCAAGATGGGTCAGGGGGCAAAAAAAGGGTAGAAGGTCACTGCATTTTGATTATGGGTCAGTAGACAACATGGCATATACTCTATGTCCCAATCTTCTGTTAAAGACCGGATTTTTAAATGCCTTAGAACAGAGGGATGACCCCTTGAGAAGATTTGCCCTGATATGTCTGAATGGGACAAAAAGAAAAAAATTAAGAAAAATACTCTAAGTTATAATTTCAATTGTTTCTCATCTTAGCCATTTCCTTTTCCTCTAGTCTCGTTTTTTTCCTCCCCCAAACCAGGGAAGGTATAATATCAGATAACTTTAACAGAGAAATTGTTGAGATTTTATTGTCTTCCATCCTCAACTATTTCAGCCCTGTGAGACTTTAAATTATTACTTTTAGACTTTGTTATAAATATTATAGTTAATTTTAATCAACAGTATGAGACTTTTATACTTCTATCCACTCTCTTATATTGTTGAGGCCTTTATGATGTTCCTTACTCTCTTCTGTCTGAATTCACTGTGAACAAAATGTGCTCAGCAATCACTAAAACAACTGTATAGGTAGATTTAGGTGGTTGGTGGTGTTGGTGGGGGGTTGATCCTCATTTAAATTATGTATGTAGAGGTTCGAAGGAAAAGGACTATTTCAATGCTCTTCAATACTTTAATTATATGACAGTTGTAGTGTAGAAATGCAAAAGTACTCTTAGGTTTTCCTTCAGGTTTTCAAAAGAACTTTCCCCATTAGTAAACTACTCCTGCAAATTGCTATTGCATTTCCAAGCTAACCATTTAAAAGACTGTAAATGCCATGCACATTACTTCGCTCCAGAGGAAAGAGGTCAGATTGAATTGCTATGGTATTTAAACATAAAATACAGTGAAAATAAATCAAAATAGAGCATCTGAAGGTAAATTTAGCATTCATATGGGATAAGTAAAGACAAATGTTCAATCCTTCATAGCCCATCACTTTAAAAACTGAAAGAGTTGATTTTTTTACAATAAATGCAAAAATGGACATTAAGAATATATTTCAATTTGTATTTGCTGCAGAGAATTGTCCTTTAGCAAGCAGCTTTGCTTTCAAAGCTAAAATGCTTTTTACAATAACTCATAGATTATGCATTTCTCACTGAGTAAATGATCACATTTAATTAACAAACTCAATGTGTAGCATATATATGCCTAAATTCACAGTAATTTCCTAAATTCACAGAGATGGCTATATACATAAATGATAATCTGGGCACAGCCATCTACATATGTGCATGCATGTGAGAAACATAGAAGTTGATGTATCCTTTCTTAGAAAAGAATTTGAATATAGTCCATCATCTGAATTGGGTTCATCTTTGATTGTAGACATGGTCAACAAATTTATCAAAGAACCCTCTGCTTTTGAAGAATAGTACTTTATGCATCTGGATCTGCACATCCAGCAAAGTAAGTAAATTATTGCATAACTTTAAGCATAATTGATAACAGACACCTTTAATTTTTCATCCCCATTCTTTTGGCTAGCTTTCGCATTAATAATCTAAGCCATAAATGTTGGTAGCTATTGATCGAAATCCCCGGTGTGCATGCAAATCCATCTTAAAGTCCCCTGCCTTTCATGTGTGAGCGCTCAGGGGCCTCTGCTAGATCTTTTTATCGGGATCGACCCCCAATGGGCCTGGAGAAGACCCCGGATATGCAACGTGTGCTGATGGCCACAAGAAAGCTGTCTGTCACATTCTGTGAGTGTGTATGTGTGCGTGTGTTAAGGCTCCAGCGTGTGGTGCATACACACACACACACACACACACACAGAATGATGGGGAAGTTAAAGGAACAAAAGAATGTATTAGACAAGGAGAAAGATATGTAATAGGAGTATTTAAAAAATGTAACAGTATAAAAGTGTCTGGATGCACATGCACAAATACTGCATAAATAGCAATATATACACACATTTCCTAAATTCCTTGGCTCTAATTTTTCTCTAATTGATCCAAAACATCAGATTATACTTTTAGGTTTTTTTTTTTAAACATACTTAAGATCCTACTGGTTTTTAAAACTATCTATCTAGTATTTTAAAGATGGAAAGAGGAAAGAAAAGAAGGTAAATTTGAAGTGGTCACTAAATCATGTTGCTATGTGCTGAAGAAATAGGAATGTGCCTGTGTGTGTGTGTGTGTGTGTGTGTGTGTGTGTGTGTGTGTGTAAACCTAAACAGGAATCAAGAACAACTAAAACTACCTCTCCCCCCATCAAAAAAAGAAGGCTCCAGCCAATCTTTTGTAATGTCTTCTCAAAGGCTTTTTTTGAGTTTACTATTTCTTGGCTGTTTGACTCTGGTCTAAATCTTAAAGCTGGAGGAGGAGAATGGGCGGGGGTGGGGTGGGAGGAGAGGACTGGCAGTATATAAGTACATCAGGAGGAATTTTATAACGACATTATTGTTACTGGCGATAGAAAGACCCTGGTCATTCTACTTTTAAAAACAAACACCAGCATCTGCTTTTCCTGGAAACTTTGCTTTCTGCTTAAACCTTGTGCATTTTGCCTCCTGTGAAAGTGAAAGAAAAAACACGGTTTGATAGATCCAGATGCAAAAGAAAGCCAACTCGGTGGATGGTATTAGCTGTGACGAGGCATTGTTCATCGCTGCCTCCTGGTTACGTTTAAAGCCTGAAATATCACGAGATTCATTCTATGATCCTTCTCTCATTTAAGGGACAAAAATGTAATTTTCTGTAGCTCTGATTTCTTGGATGGAAATGCTTGCCTTAGATTTCAAAGGCAAGAACTAGACATGGAGGTTTGTACACACATTGATTAAGTTGAAGAGCAGCGATTACATCTGTGCTGAGTGCAACAGTAGTCCAGGGCTGACTTTTCAAATCCCAGCCTCCTGAGTTACAGACTCTCTTAAATACACTTCCTTAATTTCCGGATGTACTTCTTGAAATTCCCAATTCTCTTCAAAATTCCAGGGAAATTACAAGAGAGATGAGGGTGGGGTGGGGAACTATGGCCAAGAGATTTCATCTTGTTAGGCTATACATTTTTGTATGTCTGATTCCTTTTTTTTTTTTTTTTTTTAAGTAGGGAGGAGGGATACCTGCTAGCTAGACCAGAGTAGGAGAAAATAGAACTTTTGAATGTGAAGAAAGAAATTATTGTACAATTTTTTCCTTGCAGGCTCAAAAATATCCATTTATTCTTTAACCACACGGATGTGTCTATTTTTGGAGGAAGAAGGAAACCGAAATGCCTGGATTGCATTTATGCTGTAGTTGCAAGCACCGAAGAGTTAAGAAGGTTTTGCCGAATTCTGCAAAACAGCCAACAAAGCGCCTTGGGGATCCTTGTAATACAAGTAGAAAGACTCTTGCTTTCCTTTGGCAATATTTTGGATATTCTTGAAAACGACACAAACTATGCCTCAGTTTGACTAAGAAGAGGTTAAACCATACTGATATTCATCCAAAGTGATTTTGTGAAAGCAGATGCTTGGCATTCATGGAAAAACAAATGGGAGTTGTGGAAGGTTCCCTTAAACTACCAACTCAAGCATCCCAGACCACTGAAACAGTCTGCATTATACATCACCACTTTCTTTTCATCGTTACCACTACGTAAAACCTCTGGAAACACCTTGGACGTTTTAAATTATCTTTTTTTTGCTGCACAAGGAAGCAGTCTGCTCCCTGGAATTCTGATCCGTCCTGAACAGGACCCTCGAATAGACTGTGCTGGGACTCTAACACAATCCCGCCTCCAAATAGCCGGGTTAATGGTGAAAAGTGTACACATTTCTGGCTTATCTATGCTTTGTTATGGGTCTGACACGAAACTACCTCCTCCCCACCCCCACCCCCCAGCAGAGGACCGAAATCCAGTAGAATCGTTAGTGCTTTGGAGCTGAATCCTTGAACTGCTTCGCTGGTCAAATACGTAACTTTGTTTCTGGTTGTAAAAAAAAGCATTTCAGGGGGAAAAAAAAAAAAAGAAAGAAAGAAAATCGAGAGAAATTCCAAACGTAAGTCTGTACTGGGGTGGTGGTTCACGCCGCGGTTTAACTTTAGAGCTGCAGTCTCCTTCCCCTATTCTATAAGGGAAATACCAAGCTATTCTGCACATTTTCTCCTAAGCTCCATTTTCCAAAGGAAAAGGGGGGTTGGGTCTTTCTATCTAGGCTTAATAATGTTTTTAAAATGCTTTTCTATGAAACGATAATAGCTGTTATCAGTAAAATGCAAATAATGCAAAAAATAGGCAATATTTCTTTAAAGGGGAATATACGGTGGCTTTTTTTTTTTTTTTTTTTTTTTTTTAAGCATACACACACTGCTACTCCTGAAGTCTGTGAGTCAGGCTGTTTCTGAGCTCCGATAGTTTAATGGAAAGATTTATATACCGACTGTATTATTTACTTTGGGAGGGGAGGTGGCAGTATAAGGGTATGCTAATTAGTGGGAGATTTTGGGGGGAAGGGGTGGAATATCAATTTTTATTGCATCACCTGTCAGGAGTGTCCAATCAGCGTTGGCTTTAGGGGAATTAATTGATGAAGGTGTCTCCGGACGAGCTCGCTTCACTCTGTCATTTTATTTGTAGCTAAAGCAGCGGCGGGAATAGCAGCTGCATTTCTTTTCTCTTTCTGCCTTCACATTCCATTATCACAGTGCTCCAATGGAGAAGGAAGAAATAGAGGGGCCCAGGTACTGATCTGCAGCGAGGACTCAGACCAACACACACACTGGCAGATCAGAAACCGGATGGTTTTTCCCCTCTTTTTGAAAAAAAAAACGAAAACCAAAAAAAAAGCAAGAATCAAGTCAGTGTAATTTCATGGGGTTTTTCCTCCCTCCCCCCCATAATTTCGCCTAGAGTTTGGCACTCCCTTCGACGGGAATAACAGTCTTTGTTATTTTATTAGCAGGATGCCTTGAGACACACGCAGCATCTGGCGGAGGATTAACATACATCCATGTGTATGTATGCGTCACGTATATATTTCCTGCAAATGGTGGGGATCCTTTAGTGCCCGAGATGGGAGACCTGAAGTCAGGTTTTGAAGAGGTTGATGGCGTGAGGCTCGGCTACCTCATCATTAAAGGCAAGCAAATGTTTGCCCTCTCCCAAGTCTTCACAGATCTGCTGAAAAACATCCCGAGGACTACCGTGCACAAGCGCATGGATCATCTGAAAGTGAAAAAGCACCACTGCGATCTGGAGGAGTTGCGGAAACTCAAGGCCATCAACAGTATCGCCTTCCACGCCGCTAAATGCACGCTCATCTCTCGGGAAGACGTGGAAGCTCTCTACACCTCCTGCAAGACCGAGCGCGTGCTCAAAACTAAGCGCAGGCGGCTCGACCGGGCCCTGGCCACCACCCAGCCGCCTCTGTCGCCGTCGCCGCAGCCCGCGCGCGCCGCTGCCGCCTGCAGCCCCCGCACGGGCTTTTGGAAGGACAGGCAGCAACTTTGGCGGGGCCTAAGCGGAGCCGCGCGGCCGCTGCCAATCAGCGCGCAGACCCCGCGCCCGGGCGCAGCCGCCCGCGCCACCAGCCACGCCGCCGCCGCGCGTCCCGCCGCCCATCTACCTCAGGTTTTCAGCAAATACCCGGGCTCGCACTACCCGGAAATCTCGCGCTCGCCTTGCAAGGCCCCTTTCCACTATGAAACTGCTCCACTCCAGGGAAACTACGTCGCCTTCCACTCGGACCCTGCCTATTGGCGCAGCCTGTTGTGCAGCAAGCACCCGGCTGCCGCCGCCGCTGCCGCCGCCGCCGCCGCCGCCGCCGCCGCCGCTGCCGCCGCCGCCGCCTACTACCAGGCGGCCGGGCCTCAGCCCAAGGCGGCGGCGGCGGCGGCGGCGGCGGCAGCGGCGGCGGCGGCGGCGGCGGCTGAGGGCGCTGGGAGCCTCGCCTTCCGCTGCAGGCGCAGGCGCGCGGGCGCCAAGGACGGCCTGCTGGCGCCGCACGCCGCCGCCCGCCGCCTGCTGCTCCTGCCCAGGTCCTACAAAGCCAAGGCGACGGCGGCGGCGGCGGCGGCGGCGGCGGCTGGGGCCACTTGCCTGGAGAGGTTGCATCTGGTCAACGGCTTCTGCGCGCCTCCCCACCATCACCACCACCACCACCATCACCACCACCACCACCACCACCACCACAGGGCCCAGCAGCTGCAGCCGAATCACCACCACCCCCCTCACTACCACCGGCCGCAGCCCCATCTGGGCAGCTTTCCCGAGAGTTGCAGCAGCGACTCCGAGTCCAGCTCCTACTCGGATCATGCAGCCAACGACTCGGATTTTGGCTCCAGTTTGTCCAGCTCCAGCAATTCTGTGTCCTCGGAGGAAGAGGAAGAGGAAGGAGAGGAGGAGGAAGAGGAGGAGGAAGAGGGGGGCAGTGGGGCCTCGGATTCCAGTGAAGTCAGCTCGGAGGAGGAGGAGGAAGAGGAGGAGGACTCGTCCACCGAGTCGGACTCCAGCTCCGGCTCTAGTCAAGTGTCAGTGCAGAGCATCCGTTTCAGGCGCACCAGCTTCTGCGAGCCGCCCAGTGTGCAGGCACAGGCCAACTTCTTGTACCATCTGGCGTCCGCTGCCGCTGCAACCAAACCCCCTGCTTTCGAGGATGCCGGCAGACTTCCCGACCTCAAGAGCAGTGTCAAAGCAGAGTCACCCGAGGAGTGGAATCTGCAGAGCTGGGCCCCCAAAACGTCTCCGGTGTACTGCCCGGCCGGCCTGGGCAGTTGTTTCTCAGAGATTAGGAACGATAGGGTATCTGACATTACATTCCCACACTCTGAAATTTCCAGTACTGTAAAGAGAACTGACCTGACGATTAACTGCCTGACAGAGGGGGCCTCTTCACCTAGCCCAAAGACAAACAATGCATTTCCACAACAAAGAATATTCCGAGAGGCTAGGAAATGCCTACAAGCAACACCTACTACACACTGTGCAGATAACAACACAATAACTACTCGGTTCTTCAATAATGAGGCTTCTGGAGCAGCAGCAAATTCCGAAAAAGATTCCAAAATTCCTCGTTGTCCTGAATTTGCTACGGATTTCCACTCCTCGCAAACTGATCCCGAAGAGGACTCAGCAGCAACAGCTAAAGCCGAGAATCCCTGCAATGACCCAGGTGACAAGGCATTGCCATTTCTGCACAATATTAAAATCAAAGTAGAAGACAATAGTGCTAATGAAGAATATGAACCTGACCTTATTACAAATAAGCTAAAGTGCGAGTGCAATGATACAAAGGGTGAGTTTTACAATATGACTGAAAATAAAGAGGAGGATGCCTTGTTAACCACAGCCAAGGGAGGGTTTGCATGCCCTGAGAAAGAACCTCCTTCCTTAAACCCACTGGCTCAGAGTCAGGGCCTTTCCTGCACTTTAGGTTCTCCAAAACCTGAGGATGGGGAATATAAATTTGGTGCCAGGGTGAGAAAAAATTACCGGACATTAGTACTGGGAAAACGACCTGTCCTGCAGACACCTCCAGTCAAACCAAATTTGAAATCAGCTAGAAGCCCTCGTCCTACAGGTAAAACTGAAACACATGAAGGAACACTGGATGACTTTACAGCTATAAACAGACGCAAAAAGGTAGCCAGCAATGTAGCATCAGCAGTGAAAAGGCCATTTAATTTCATGGCAAATTTTCCTTGTCCACCATCGCTCATTATTGGGAAGGATGGGGATTTGTGGCCGGCGTATTCCTTAAACACTACTAAGGATTCCCAACCTCCTCACAAGGCCCATCCTATATGGAAATGGCAGCTGGGCGGTTCTGCAATACCTCTTCCACCTAGTCACAAATTCAGGAAATTTAATTCATAAAAAATATTTTGGAAGATATTTTCTTGAACCATATTACCTTCTTTTTGTTGTAAACAGCACAGGATGGTTTGTACGAGTCCATTAATGGTGTTACACCCCCTTTGGAGTCCTGGTTTATCCCATTTTGAAGACAGAAATCGGATTACTTTTTTTTTCCATTGCGGGTTTTTTTTTTTTTTTTTTGGAGCAGGGTGGGGGCGGGGTGGGAGAAGGGTTGGTTTACACACCACAGGCTACTTCAGGCTAAAGACTCAAGTAAAACTCAGTTATGATGGTAGAGCTGGAACACTTTACTGTTTCAATGCTAATAATGCACCGGTACCTCAATTCAACTGCTACAAATAAATGTCAAAAGGTTGAATAATAAATATTACAATGAGCCATTAAGTTTATGCACTAGATTTCAGACCTGAAAGTGTAACTGTTAATTCAGTGCAAGTTTGTTAGGTTTCATGGTTACACAGTGAGGTAGCAAGTCTCTGTGAGCCCTAAGTGTAATTTCCTGGACTCTTGTTTGTGGGGTATCTTTTTCTTTTTACTCCCCTCATTCTGCAAGAGTAGTTGCACTTAACCTTTTATTTTTTTGGAATGGAAAGGGTGGAGTGTGAGTCCTCATTGAATACTGATAAGAAGCTGCCTCATATATAATAAGAGAAATGTGGGATCGTATTTTTTTCTTTCTTTCTTTTTTTTTTTTTGATAAAGGATGTGATTTTTACTTTTACAGACCGTCCTGGCAATTGGAAAAGTCCTTTTTGTGTTCTCACCCAAACATTTTAAATAAGATGACTCTTACCTTTGTCCTGCTTAACTTGTGGTCTGAACATGACTCTTTGAACTTTCAAAACAATTAAAATATTTCTCTGAGCAGGATATTTTATGGTCTAAGTCTCCATAGTAAATACAACCAAGAAAAAGAAGAAGAGGGGTTAGTGTTGTATACCCCAATGAAAAATAACAGTTATTTCAGGGCTTTTGGTACCAGAACTCAGGATTTTATTACCTTATACTTTTGATGCATCTCTCTAGACTTCTGTTTTCAGACCATCCTGTGTATAGAGCAGGAGAATTTCTACTGCAAGTGACAATCAGAGGTGACTATCTATATTTGCACTTAAAATCAAAGTAGTTCAACATGCAAATGACTAGGGTCTGGCCCTTGGTAATGGCCACTCTGGTGTACTGTGTTGTTATGATGGAAGCAGTAAATCAAAATTATGGAAATTTGCACTGTTGAAAAGCATGCTTTAGCTTTATTTTCAATTAAAAACACTGTTTAAAATTCTTGGTTCCATACATTTCTACTTATTCCAGATTGAAGAACAGTTAATAGGAATGAATGATTTTGTTGACATTTTCACTTGTAACGTTTTTGCCTGAAAGAAATGCATTTATTGGGTGCAGTGGTTTGTTGAAATACTTTGTGATGAAGCCAGACAGGCTCTGTGCATAATACTGGGAAATTTCTTCCTAAATAGCAAGAAAACTTCATAAATTTGTGGCCTATCAAGCACTAAAAGTTTCAGATTTCAGAAAGTGGAAGAGTGATCCTTTGTTATTTTAATGAAAGTTGAAATTAAGAATTTTTGATCCACCTCCCTTGGTCTGACAAATTATGTATCTCAGCTCCTTTCTATCTTGAATCTACGAAGTTGCATCTATAGATCATAAATCACAAAGCAAAACAAAACATCAATGAAATGTTTACTGTGTGAATTTAAGTCACTATTTCTCATGGAAATTCAGTCTATTTTTCCCCCCTTAACCTTTTAATTCCTACTCCCTTTGAAATTTTCCTTTTGTCTATAAATGTTTCAGTTAGCTCTGGATGGTCTCAGACCTAATTGCTGTCTATGTGCTGTGGTTTTCCTCTTATAAAGGACAGAGGCTAAGAATACCTGCATCTGAATACATTTCGATGGAGTAAACAGATGCTTTGAACTGCCTCCTTCTTTTCATTCCTGAATGTTGCCAGATGTAGGTTCACTGAGTTGCTTTTTATTGGAATAATAGATATGGACAAAGCAAAGATTCTGGGATGTTCCCCTTGAATCCATATTTTTATACAATTCCAAAGACCAGTCCATGTAATAGTTAAATCTTCAGAAAGCTCAGCAAAAGAAGCAAAATTGGCCTTTTAGTCTGAGTTCTTGCCTCTCTGAAGGCAATCCAGAATTTAGGTACAGTGACTTGTCCTGCAAGATCAGTCTGTTCAAAGGTATGACACATACACTGGAAATCTGTGATTTCTACTTTCTAATTACTGCTAAATCAAGAAAGTTCCAAGTATGGCGACTACTATGTTGAGACCAGTACTTTCCTTGTTGGCTCTGGACTCATTGTTTCTAACATATAAATGCAGAAATATTCGAAGTCTACAGATCCTGGGTGTGGTAGAACTGTAAGACAGAATAAACACAAATTAAAACAAATACACCCTATGGAATTTGTGACATAAAATAGCAGCCTACAGCTTTGACACTTGGTCCAGCCCTCAGAGAATCAATAGTTCCAGTTTATAGAAGCTGGAGAATGAGCAGTATGGAGGCCGACACATTCCAGAGTGATACTATCAAAAAGGAAAGAAATTAAATAGTCAACACAATTTTTGACCCACATTACTACCATAAGCCAGCCAACCACAGTAAAACCTGAGTTGGGGCTTCTGTCGGAAGGTACCAGTAGTATGCAGTACCTTTCAAATACAAGGTATTCTTTCAATTCCTGGTAGCCCCTAAGCTGTTTTCCCATCCTGCGGTGGGAATTATTCTCAGTGCAGTTTATTTTATTTGGGTTGTTTTATGATTAATGACAATATCTAGATTTTTCTAAGCTGCTATAAATGTCTCATTTGTTCAAAAGTTAACCCTTATTGAGAGAAAAACAAAAGTTACCTCCGTTGATAGGTTAATTTTTACATTTAAATGTTTTCAGGGAATAAAATTTTTAAAGGGAGTAGAGTGCTATATAGCTACAGGGTCAGTGATGCCTGTGTCTAAATGAGCTCAGCATTCACAGATATGAGGAAAATACAGGAAAAGCCTTTTTCTCTGACTTTTTAGGGAAACATTTTTTAGTGTCACATAGAAGTAATTTTCTGAGAAAACTGTGAAGTGAATATTTAATTATTTTTTTAGAGAGATGTGTGTACTCTCTCCCATAGTTAGGTTATCTGCCTTTGTAGAAGGCAGTTTGCTCTCCCCCCCACCCCAACTATTTACTTTTTAAGAGTGGGTGTTCCTTTCTACTGGCTTACTTGATTACAGAGGAGTAATCTCAATAATGGTTGTTTATTTGAAAATCAACAACAAGGAGCCACCACTAAACAGCAATAACACAAACTAGATGGGCTGGTGTGTGGATTTTTTATCTTATTCGTGTCTGGGTGACTTCCAATGGTCTAGAAATTCCTCAGAGTTCTAGGCAAACAAGAATTGGATTGAGAATTCATTTTCTGCTGATATGAGAATGATAGTTTTGTCTGCATGCAGGAAGAGATGTAGAAGAAACTAGTTCCTCAAAAGCACTTTTTTTCCTTCAAATAAAACTCGTCCTGGTTAAAAAAAAAATTTTTTTTTAATAAATCGTTAGCATCCACAAAGGAAAATGTGAGTTTTGCTTCACCTTGAAAATAACTTCCTGTTGAAAAGGATGTGAAAAGAGGGATTTCCCAGAGCTAAAGTAGGAAACAGGAAAAAAAAAAATTAAAGGCTCCCATCAACTAACCTCAGGAAATTGGCAGGGAGGAACCAGGCCTCCACCTTAGTAAATCCTCCGGGTCACCCCGGTTATCCCAGCATTTTCCCCTGGCCTGTAAGGAAGAACTATTTTTAATGCTAGTTTTGGTTTTGGTTTGCTCCCTAGGCCAAAGGGCATTTTGGAAACTAGCCTGGGGGTGGGGATGCAGGGCGGATTGAGGAGGTGGGGGAGGGCTACATTTTACCTGTTTGGCAGACCCTCTTTTAACCAAAAAAAAGAAGAGGGGGCCCAGCTATCATTCTTTGCCCATGCCCTAGGCCCCGCTCCCTCTCTCGCTCCTTTTCAAACTGTGGCGGCCTCACAAGCTCCTACTTTAAAAGGCCTGAGATGTTTTGCATGAAGCCCTCACAATAGGGGTTGAGGGAATTGACAGTTTCAAAAACAAGGCGTTCAGTCCTTTCCAGCTGCCGGCCCACTCTCTCGCACCAACTCCTCATCTCTCTCTGCTGGTGGCGTCCTCCGGGGCGCACGGCCTCCCCCCACTCCGGCAGCCAGCGCTCCGGCCGCCCCACCCCGCCCCAGGCTGTGTTTGTAAACAGGGGTCAGTGGCCAGGGGCTGCTGGCGCGGGCCTGCGGCCTAGCGGCCTGGAGGGAAGGCAGGGGACAAGCCTCCGGCCCAGGGCTGCCGCAAAGTGCCGGCTGGATGGCCGAGCCGAGTCCCTCTCCCCCTCGGTAGCCTCAAATCCCCGACCTTTGGGTGAGGTGGGGTTTCAGAGAGCCAGGACAACCCAGGGCTTTCTGACCAGGGCCACCACCAGCACCAGAAAGGTGCTTAAGTGCCGCCATCTTGCATGGTGGCAAATTTCTTTTATGACTCCCTCTCACCCCCACTTCCCACCCCCAGATCTTGCTGTCTTCAGGATGTGTGATGATTTGCTGCCCCGGGGCAGAAGAGCTCACACCCAGCTGGCCTGGTAGGGCTGGTGCACATACAGCCTGCCGGCTGAGGAGCTGACACAGAGGCCGCAGGGGCCCAGCCAGCCTTGACCCCTCCCAGGGCCAGTCCTTGGGGGCGGTGCGCCTACCCCGATTTGGCACTCCTTTTGTGTGCCCTGAAGTTCTCGCCAGCCCTTGCACATGCCACCTCGCTGTTTCTCACCTTCTCATCCACACCTCATGTCTCCCCAGGCAAATGGGGCCCAGATTCTTGGATGAGGCAGGGATGGCCTGACCAAGGCTTCCAAAACGCGTGCGTGTGGAGTACTAGTGGCCAAGAGACGGGCCTTCCCACTGGGCCTCACAGCCAGAGGGCTGGAGTGTGTGGGGAGGGTGAGCCACCCAAGGTGGAGATCCTGATGGGGGCATGGCTGACTGGTCGGCTGCCTGGCCTGGAGCCTTGGTTCCTGTGCCTTGGAACTTCTCAGTGCATCTGCACGTGGAATGGTGACCAGGGTTGTGGAGGTTAGAGTGCAGCAAAGCAAACAAAGCTGCTACTGGGGACCAGGGGACACAGAGGTGCACTGCAGACAGGTCACAAGAAAGTGCAACAAGCTTGTTTTCCAGGGTGTTTAAAATGCTGCCCCAGTTGTAAAGTGTGTGAAATTACGCACTAGTCTCTTAAAGACTTCCTAATTTATAGTAAATAGCAAGGTCTTTGTAAATGGCTTTATTATGTTGTTTCTTGTTAATTGTTGAGAAAATCCCCATTGTTGAGTGTGAAAGGCTTTATGAGCTAACCTGGTCCTTGGCACAATCAGAGGGGCAGTAAATGACCACTTGGCCTCCAAGGCCTGGAGCAGAAACAGGCACTAGCCGAGGGTGGCATGAGGAACTTTGGAGAGGCTGCCCAGCCCAGGGACAAAGTGACATGGCTTTCTCTACGGTTTCATTTACCATCAAGCATGTTCTGAACTCACAGGCCTCCTGGAGCAGCTGGCTAGCGAAGGCAGCCTAGCTGGCTGGCCCGACCCTGGCAGCATGTCGGCAAGGGCATGAGGAGGCTGTGACAGAAAAGGCCAGGTCCCCAGTTCTAGTCACAGCCCGTGGGGGGTCTCAGGGCTCCAGTGGAGCCCAGCTGTGCTGGGGTCAGATCTTGGGCTTTGTCTGCAGAGCTGCAACCTCGTCAAGTGTGGGCTCAGGCCTAGTCTCAAACGCTTGCAGAAACCCCTAAAAGTATCTGCTGGGCTTTGGAGCTGGAGGGTCTGCAGGCAGAACAAGGCTCCAGAGGGAGAGAGCACCAGGTCCCGGCCTGGGCCTCCTTTTCTTTTGTTTAAAGCACTCTCTTCTTCCCTCCCTCTCTTTTCTCCCTCTCTCTCACGTGGGACACACACACACTGTCTCTCCAGTAGAAACCTGAAAGGGACTCAGAAGACAAGAAGAATGAGAGGAAAGGGTTTAGGTTTTTGTTGTGAACAAGGGAAAGAATTTTTCTTTAGTCCAAGATAAAATATTTCTATCTCCTGTTCCTGGCTCTAGATCTCTTTAAAGCTAGTTGGGATCCGGGATGGGAATGGGCAGAACCAGGCATGCTTGGGGTTACTGGCCCAAACTATGAGAAGAGGACCTGTGTGGCTGGGTCCTGCA